CCCCAAAACCCCAAAACCCCAAAACCCCAAAACCCCACTTGACCTATAATCAATAAAAAATAATGATAAAGAAAAGTATATCAAAAGTATATAATTTGAGAAGTTTATATTATCAGATAGTCTACTATTAGTTTTCAAAATTCTTTGATTTTTTGATAATTTCTCTTCTCAGATTTAGTAGTTCGTTATACATTGAAATACACCTCATATAATTTTTACTTTTCTTAAGGGAACTAACTATAAAAGGCTCCGCAAATTCAAATAAAAACCCTAAATTTCTGTCTTAAAGGAATTGCTATCTTGCAATTTATGTGTATTTATAGCAGCATTGCTAAAGCAATGAAAGTGAGGAAGTATCTACAATTTATATGCTTTCATCAAGCTATTAATTCTAATTATTGGCAATAGCACTATACTGAATTTTACTTCTTTAATACTTTCTTTTATTCACCTCACTATAATTGTAAACAGCCTTGACTTTGCATAAAAATGGTTGAAAATGTGGATAATTTTGGCAGCTTTCCTTGAATTAAACATTATTTAGAACTTTATTAAAAGTACGGAAGACTTATTTTTATATAACGGGATTCATTCCTTTCTCTTTTGAATTAGAGAATAGTTTTACTTCATCTTTTGGTGGTCTTCCTTTTTCTCTCTTTTTCTTTTGCTGAGAAAAGCCTTTAATTTGTTAGCTTTAATTTATTTCAATATTGGATGATTGAAATTACTGTATTTACTCTTTTTCTAATTCTTATATATCAACTTAAGGCTAGACATGATCCCATTATGCTTGATTGGAATGATTGTTAAAAGCAGAAGTAGCTTCTTGAGTAATAAATGTATCAAAGTTTTCTTGTAATTAACAAGTATTTTAATCGACTAAATGATCTTCATTAGTAGTTTACATTGTTAATGCTGTCATAGTATTAAAGGCAAAAGTATCACTTTCAAGTACGTATAAATTTTTGAATTCCAAATCAAATTCACTAGAATCGCCTTCACAGAAGTCAAGAGATTAGTCTTATTTGTCATTCCTAGCTGGACAAAGAAAACGATCTATCCTATCATTGAATTAACTTTCTTTATCGTGAAACTTTGGGTTGCCCAAACTACCCATCCAGTTCTCAGAATTCATAGATATATTGATAATTTTACTTAGATATAAATAATATCAAAACATTTTTCTCAAACTAAATCAGGATCTAATAATCAATCAAATTGGTCATTTTTTATGACACTTAATTTCATTAAAGCAATTTAATTAAAATAATTTCCGTTCAGATTAAATATATATATTTTCCCGATAAATTATAAGTTTAATTATTAGCCGTTAATTATGAATTCAAACATGTTGGGGTTTTGGGGTTTTGGGGTTTTGGGG